GAATTCAATTTTTATTCTCTACATTCTTATGGCTTTACATTTTCAGTTCATTATAAGCCCTATATCATTTCTCATCAGTTCCTGACACCAACCACCTACCCCCCGCAATGCCAGGGTCCCAGTTCCCGTCAGCGTCAGTTATCTACAATTTTTTCACATCCCACACCACCCATCAAAGTGCCACGATTTTGCCGTTCACTAAAGGGAGTTACATATCTAGTTGTTTTCGCCTTATATGGCTCGCTATCAGTCCCTATCACTTGCTATCAGTCTCTGCCACCAACCATTTGCGGTCCCTTCACATCCCAGACCACCCATCAAACCGCCACGATTTCGCCGTTCACATGAAGGGAGTTACATATCTAGTTGTTCTCGCCTTAAATGGCTCGCCATCAGACCCTATCAGTTGTTATCAATCCCCGTCGTCGAAAATTTGTGGTCCCTTCACATCCTACACCACCTGCCAAAGTGCCAAGTTAGTGCAAAGGGAAATATGGGTCCTGTGGCTTTTGCCTTTTAAGGCTCCTTATCAGTTTCTATCCATAGTTGTCGCTTCCTATCACCTGACATCAGTGTTGCCATCCTGCCCCCTATCTCCTTTCAAATTTGAATGTTCTAGGTTCAGTGGGACAGGAGTTATGAATTTCCGGTCAGACAAACACACACACACAAACACACACACACAAACACACCAACAGACACACATTAGCAGATTATATAAGTAGGATCCTTACTATATATAAAGCGCTCACGTCTGTCTGTTTGCAAGGAAATTCGATATCACTCGATAAAGTACCTGCGGAAGTTTTAAATCTACGAATGAGCGGTTGTGGACATACAGTGAATGCATAAGCATGCATAGCCCAACTAGTACACATACAGGGTGAGCCATAAATATGGTAACAACTTTTCGGACCTCCGTGATTTCCTTGTTTGGAGAGTATTTCAAATCTGCACCTTTTCTTATGTTTATGATATACATGATATGCACTAGTCCACATATCTATTTTGGTGCTCTCAAGTCGTCAGATTCCAAAAAGCGGTGGAGCCTCGCAGACATTCACCAACAGTTCTTCCTTTGCTCGCATTTGTTGAGTCCTATTCCGGGATCGCTCCTCGTTTAAACATTTGCCACATGACAGTCCCTCAAATCGCTATGCGTAGACAGGTCAACAACAAAACTCAAAACGGTCGTCTCGTCTCACATACTAGCCCTTTTCCGAATACAATTACTTGGGAAGGATTACGCTGCGGAACCTGCAGAAACACGAGAAAAATGACTGTTTGTATGCTCTACTCCGATGAGAAGAGTTCACCCCGAGTAAGTGCATGGCATCCAGATAGAATTCGAAAGCTTTGTAAGCTTCTTGACGTGAAGAAGTTGGAGAGAAAAAACGAATGCCGTGCGCTACTTGGCGCGGTGCGAGCTTCGCCACACTTTTTTCTGACCAAAGGGTGTTCAGCGTAGAAGAAATTTAGAGGTCCCAGAGTATGCGTAAATTCCACAGTACGAGTGCTGAAGCCGCAGAGAAGACTCAGATTGCGGCTCGTAGCCGTTCTCTCTTTTTTTAGATGGTCTGAGCTAGAATCTCTACAATCAGAGCGATATCGCAAATTTCAGGCAAGAAAAGCACAAAGTCCAATCAGAACCTCTTTAGCAAGGGTTTTCCTAAAAGGATATAGCTTAGGGTGGACAATTTTTCCTAGGTCTACTTTTTGAAAACTAGGCGTTGGGAATAGATCAAGACTGGTGCTGAGGAAATGCCTGCGATTTTATTCCGGCTTCCAATGCTCCTACGAGTTTCCCGGACAACAAAGTCATGGGTCGCTCTATATAGTCCATACTAGGAGGAGACCCTGCGCTTTCAAACGCCCCTGAGAAGTCAATAAAAAAAGCCCGCGCTGGCGTTTCTCAAGAAGCTGTGTGCCACCGTAGATGAGTAGCTGAAGCGTCTTCGAGCTACAATTAGTACAGGAGACAGTTATATAGGATCACTGTGTGTTCGTTTTGTAGATGCGATGCATGGTAAATAACTCATATGAACTCACCATGTATCAAAAAAAACTGCGGCTCCTGTTTCGCAAACCATATTTATTTATTTATTTATTTACTACCATATTTATGACGCACCCTGTCTAAAAGAAAATGTCCAGAGTGGGCTTTCTTGTGTTAGGACCTGGCAAGCTACAAGTTGTTATCCATATGCCAAAAACAGTAATAAAAATGAGCCGAACCGTAGGGAGCCTACAATACGTGAGCGTTTGGTAAGACCGCTCGGGAGAGACTGCTAAAATCCTAAGCCAAAACAGGCTTCCCAAGAGGAGAGGGCACAAGACGGTGATCTGTTCTTTCCACGCAAAAACGCTTGCATTGTAAGCGTGTACCGAAGATCTGTTGATGCGAGCCAGAATGATCAAGTACGACGTCATCGGGCTGACTTTGACGGGAAGAAATCGCTCGCTGTTCGCTGTGTTTCAGACTGTAGAAGAAGCGTTCCTTGGAACATGCAACAGGCGAGCCGTGGGCGGTGTAGGTGTCCTCGTCAACATGCACATGGCCATAACATCGATTCTTAAGAAAGATAACAACCCGAATCGGACGCTTGCGATTGAGCAAGTGTGGCTCAACCCTTGCTCCAACAATCTCCGTTGTCTACGCATCAACATCGAGCTACGAGGAAGAAAACTGGGAACGTTTTATATGGATGTGGAGGAGAGATTCAGAGAGGACCATACTTTCTTCAAGGTCATCGTCAGTGGTTTCTTTTCCGAGATTGCTCCCAGAAAAACAGCTAAAAACATCGGTACTTACGGAAGGAATGGAATGAGCAGAGTGAAAGACTGTCCGAGTTTACCATGTTCACCCATGCTATACATGGGAACTCGTAGTTCCAGCAGCCCTCCCATTTGCGATGGACATGGGAGTCATCTGGTAGGCAGCTCCACAATGAAATAGACACATAATCTTCAAACCAAAGTTTTGCCTGACTGACGTCGTTGTTGTTCCTTGCTCTGCATCACACAATCATCTACACCTAGATTCTGTGTTTTAAAGAGGTGCGAAGTTCAGGAAACGAAGCTCCAAGACTGTTGTCAACTGGGAATCACTTCATGTCACTGACGAGTTTGTGGGAAGATTCCGTCATCGACAATATCAATGAAGAATACGACCGGCTCGTCGAGTATCTTCACGATAGCGCCAGGAAAGGAGAGAGTCCCAAAGATGCCGAGAAACGAAAGGGTTACTGAACTGTTTCTGAACTGCATTTAGACGCACCAGTGCATCAAAGGAAGGAAAATGAGGCCGTTCGAAAGCTCAACTGTTGGTTCAAGATGGCTCTTCGGAGAGAACTTCTCCAACAGTGGTGTAAAGTGAAATTCGTCTTACCTGTTGATTTATTTGTTCCGTTTAGAGTCATTTCTGGTGGTAAGCAGATATATTTCATCTTCCATGGACCGTGCCGACTGGTTGGCTCAGAATTCTGCTTTGTTATGTACGTTGATGACCCTGTTTGGCATTAAGGGAATTTTTCGGTCAATTTGTTCTTGTTTCAGACATAGCTTCGCTCTACACTGTTATGCCCATACACTGTGGAGTTTGCTGTTCTCATTCTCCTATCGTTTTTACGTTTTGAAGCGAACACCACCGAAAAATAGCGTCGTTGTAGCAATTATCCTTGTGATGTATTTGCCATCACTCCTCCAATTTGTAAGTTGGTTTGTGGAGTGTTTATGGCAAGTTTTCCTCCTCCATCACACGCCTAGTCGAGGCCAGCGGTTCAGATTTATGCCGCGCTGCCCTTCTTCGAGATCATAAGCTCCACGGAATTTCTGCAGAGCAATGACTTCGGTTGTGAATCGCTCAGTGGTTTCGTAGCTCTCCAGTCTAGAGCGAGTTAGTTTGAACTCTTCAAACTCGAGAGTATGCCTCACTTTTCCAATTAGAATTTTCACATAGTTCTATCATAATCTTGTAGTTCTCGTAGATGTTTTCATTGGTAAAATGAACAACGAAAAATTTTTTATTTCAAACATCACTAGTGCAAAAAGCGTAACTTAGCGTTTCAAGCGCAATTACAAGACTAAGGAGAGTTCTGAAATACCACTCAGGCTGGAATGTAACGCGGTAGTTCAACGAATATAGTAGATTGTGATTCTTCATGAATGACACTCTCGAAGAACTCGAGAGTGTGTCATTCACGATGGATCACAATCTACTATGACCCTCATCTTTTAGATATCCTATTGCTTTGCCAACGAAAAGGAGGCCGAATTGAAAGTACTGATAAAGGAGAATTTCGGTTATGACGTGCGATCAGAATGTGTTGGCGGAATTAAAAATATTCTGAGTTGGAGCTCACTCCCAACAACTCTCCATATGACATTACCAGCTGCTCCAATCTATATCGCTATTCATGTGATCAGAAAACTTACCATTTCCCTGTTGGATATGGAATTGGTCATGTCAGAGAACAATCGACGTATTCATTCCCAACTTCTTCAGGTAAGCCATCTTTTATAGGCAGTGAGTGAGCAACTTTTCATGAAGATACCGGCACTGTCTGGAACCTGTTATCCAGGATCTTTGGGAATCCTGACACTGGAGCATAACTGGAGGACTCGCTTAGGTGATAGTGGTTGGACATAGACAAACTGTATTATCTTCACTATCTTTGTTTTTATTTCATTGTGATACCGACGCGATATGGGCCTACTTGCCACTTCCAATGAGTACCATACGACATTTCCAAATTCATTTTTAGGCCCTCACGGTGCAGGCCTGTTTACCCGTTTTCGTCGTTCTCGCCGCCATTCTGTACGCAATTGAACAACTGGATATCATTCGTCATCCCTTTCTCGAATATTCCTGTTTCATACTGGTCGGTGTGATTCCTGTGCTCAGTCCTCTTACCTCATTTCTTTTTATTCGTCCTTACAATATTTGGATACAAGAGACACTTCTACGCCGCCACAAAGTGTCCACCACCATCAAAGTTTCGAAAGTTGCTTCAAGTACCAAAAGAAGTGATCTAAACATTATGCTCTAATACGCATACTTGGTGCACTCATTTAAGTGATTGGTATTCTGTTCATATGTCGATAAAGTTGATTTAATAATCTTTCCAACAGTTAAGATAAGTGACCCAAATGTTAAGCTCTGATACGCATCGTGAGTGCACTCAGTCGTGCTCGGTTGGTAATCTGTGAATATGTCGATAAAGTTGGATTAATAAGCTTTCTGAGTAGAGTCAGTACAAGAAAATTTGGAATCCAAGGCTTCTATAAATACAATGCCTACCCAAATTGAAAAAAAAAACAGGAAAACTAGGATCGTTGACTGGCAACGAAAATAGACGCTAGACTAGCTAGATTTTACTTTTTTCGTTCTTCCTTTATCAACGGATTGGTGTCTACTTTTTCCATAAGGCTTATTAGATAGCTCGACTTATGGTTAGCTTATGAAGTAATGTGGTTAAAAACAACTTGAAAAACCCGCATCTTGATGTTCTCGTACAATCATCAATGGTCCAACGTCATCAGGAATGACGCTTGCTATGATCATAATTGGAAGACGATCCTATAATGGAAATATTCATTAAGTTGGGAAGTAACAAGCCTAATTCCGAGTAGTAGAATATGCCTACGAATACGTCGTGTTCACATTCAGCTTACACTAGTCATCTCAATATCAGTTCCTAATAAAGTTTATGAGTTAACCAATGGGTCAATAGGGATTGACAGGGTTCAGTTCCAAATGTCAGTATGAATTCTAGTCCAGCAAATGTACTTCTATTCTTCATGGGTGACTTTCTTTTACTTCGCTATGAATGTGCATGTTGTGCAGAGTTACGGCATCCATCTAACGGACTCGTACGCAACAGTCATAGAAGCTTCCGATCTCTTCTGCTGGAGGCTAGGCTGATGGCAAGATGATTCAGTCATCCGGATATTGAATCGCGCCGAAGCCCAGATACAATTGAATGCGTGACTAAAATTCCCTTTGGATGCGGATCTGTAAGTGTGCGTAGTCTTAGAGCATTATGAATGAAAACGCTTGGCCTTGAGGGTAACGGAACTTCTCCCCTATCGCGGCATTCTCCCTTGCGGCATGCGGTAAATGTCACTGCAATTACCGTACTCACCTCGCCTCCCGCCGATCGATAGGACGCGATATTTTTCCTTGGCTGGCTTGCTTTTTCATTGGATTTTATCGTTTTTTCTTCTGTTTCTTTTTAGTTTTCATGTTTAATAGACTTGATTGATTAATATGACTCCTCCTATATAAACGACGATCAAGACCGCATTGGAATTGAAAAGAGCGGCCAGCCAATTCAAATAATTAAAGGACTCCCTACCTCACAAATTGCGCGCTCCAATCTTCCATCGCAATCATGCGATAGGCGGCGGGTGCGGCGTGTGCGACGCCGTGTTAGGGGAGAAGTGCTAATCTCGTCTTTCGTTATGGGGCACATGCTCTACAAGAAACATTCTCTGTTCGCACCTGCAGACATCTACATGTAAACACCATTTGCAATATCCTCTATCAGTATGAATCATGTCTCTGTTCGTTCTGATGTCGAATCATATCGATGCCCTAATCAATTCTTTCAGTGAAGGGGTGAATCGAATTTGATCACAAAGCGGTCAACACTCAAGAAATAGATGAGGTGGGGTAGGGAAACTGTTTTATTGACATATGTAGGTAG